AGAAAGACACTCTGTCTTGCCTTTTAATGCTGCAAAGTAGAATGGCACTACATAGAGAAGGCACTGCACCAGAAGGTTTGTTTCCTAATCCTTTGACAGGCTTCCTATTTTTTTTTCATCAACGTTCTAAAAAAGAGAAGAAGGAAAAAAAAAAAAAAAAAGCAACCACCAAAAACATCTGAAACAATATAAGTGCTAAATTTAGCACTGTCAGACAGTAGGAGATTAGAGGTATGTGTTGTACTCCAGTACTTCAGACTTGGAACTGCTGCCAGAAGTCTTCTAACCAACTCACTGCTTAACAAAACTAAAAGACAGAGGGGAAAGTTGTTTGGTTTTTCATTCACTTTTTAAAGTTGACTTATTTAGTGGACATGAAATCATTCATTACAGTTTTGATCTCAAAATCAAAAGTAAAGGAAAACAAAGAAATAATTATATTAAAAACAAACAAAAGAACGCAGCTTTTAATCTTTCTAGAAATGCTTTACTAGATTCTAGAAATCACTTTACTAGATTAGGATGTCATATGTTATCTTTTAGAGATTCATAGGAATGTTTCTTAGGATTTGTAGTTTTTGGGGTTTTTTTTACCAGAATTCTTTGGGAGATTTACAGAAATGCTCACAGCTATTCCTACTTCATCTGCTATTTTCCTTCCAGATTAAATTTTATTTATCTGTATGAAAATGTATTATTCTCTTCACACAGTATTCTATTCTCTCCTTCATCCTTCTTTCCTTCATCCTACTAAATGATAATGAAGAAAGCAACAGCTGTGATGAAAGTAGCAGTGGTGAGGGAAGGTCTATGTTCTTGTCCAGTTTTCTCAATAAAAATGAGAGATGAGAGAGAAGGAAAAAGAAGGCCATCAAAGAAAATAAGAAACAGGAATTAGCATTTTGAATTTAACCTGCTTTGTAGTCTGACCATTAATGTTCGTATTTGTGTAGAAGAATCTCAACCTGAATGACATTGTCTTCTGGGAGGGCAGTTAGAAATGCCACAGTTCTTTAAAACCCTTTATACTGTTAGCAAATTCTTTATGATCATTTGTTCTGAATCTTACTGAAATCAACTGACCAAAAAAAAAAAACAAACAAAGAAAACTTTCTCTTAGTGCACAAATGGAATGTATTTTAACCTTCACAACAGCGAAATCAAATCAAAGCTTGCTTGCAGAAAAGTGCATGTTCCAAGGAGGTTTAAATGGAATTTATGGTCCTAACAAAACCAGCAAAGTGTACAGCTGAAGTGGCAAAGATACTAGACATGGGGTATTGATTTAGGTTTAATCATTACATACTTTTATTTTATTTATTAATACGTAGTACTTACGTATTAGAGAAAATAAGTTATTCTGTGCTTGATCGGTAAGAGTGGAAAAGTTTTTCTTATGTTGAAATTAATTTCCTCAATTTTACTTTGTGTCTGTTGCCTTTTGGCCTGTCACTGTGCATCACTCTGAAAAGTCTAACTCCATCTTCTTAACTCCTTCCATCATGTACTTATACAAATGGAGAAATCCCCCAAGGCCTCCTGTTGTCCATGCTCAACAATCTCAGCTGTCGCAGTCTCTCCATATAGATTATATGCTGAAAGCCTTTCATCACTTTTCTGGCTCTTTTCTGCAGTTCTCTAGCATGTTCACATCTGCTCTAAACCAGAAGCACAGGATTGAACCCAGCACTCCAGTTGTGCAGCTGATGAGAGGGGAAGGATCACACCCACAGCCTGCATGTGATATAGTGCTGTTCCTAATGCAGCCTAGAAGAGGCAATAAAGATGCATTGTTGGTTCGTGGTTTGCTAGGACCTTTTCTGAAAAAGGTCTTTTCTTTTGTGAAAAGGCCTTTTCTGAATTTTTTTTTCCCAGCCATCCAATCTCCCACTTGTGCTAATTATTCCTTCCTAGGTGTATTTTTTTTTTTCCTTGAGTTTGCTGAGGTCCTTCTGAATGGCACTTCTGAATGGCAGAACAACATTCAATTAATCAACCACTCTTCCCAGTTTTGTATCATCTTCGAATTTTGAGTGCCATCTGTCCCATCATCCAGGTCACTAGCAAAGATCATAAAACATATTGATTGCAGTGTCAAGTGCTGGAGTACACCATTAGTAACTGGCTTCATTTGGTCTGATTCTGATTCTTCCTGACCAGGTGATCTTTAGCAGGCATCTACCACAACACTGCCAGTGTGGGTCTACCAATCATTAATGCTGACCGATCAGCTCACAATTGGCTCATTCATGAGAGTAATACTTTCCATCCTATGCTGTCTTTGCTAAATCACCTGTGATGAAATAGAGTAGAATACTTATGTGTATCCTTCGAGCTATCCTACTTGAGCTATCCTACCATGTCACAGTGATCCCAGTAAGATACTGTAGTCCTGCATCTGCATGCAGTCCTTGGATTTCTCCTGTTGGTTTTTCATGCTGCATGCAATATTTTAAAGGTACTTTGGATGGGCACCTGGATGTGCTGATTTCCATTAAAAGGAAGAGAGCTTTCCCCACAGTGCCATCCTGTAGGCACTTCTTATATTTAAGTGCAGACTCTTGTAGAAGACCCCTTTTAGTACTGGCTTATTGCTCACATTGCTCTACAAACATTACCTGTCAACTTGGTTCACTTCTTTCTCATTTAACCACTACTCATTCTTCCCTGTGGATTTTTTTTTTTTCATAGTGGCTGATATGATTTATTTTCATATTCTTAGGAGAAAAAAAAAATGTTGATAACAAGTGTTTAATTATTTCTGAGCTGGGATAGCCAGGATAGTGGCTGAGCAGAGCCAGGAATATTTCAGCTTTTCATACTGCACTGCCAGAAAGTGGGCTGGGAGAGCACAAGGACCTGGAAGGGGACAGAGCCAGGACAGCTGACCTAAACTGGCCAAAGGGATATTCCATACTGCATGACATAATGCAGAAACTATAGAACAGGAGGGGGAGAGAGGGGGATTGGCTTGTGGGGCAGCCGCTGCTAAGGATGTGCTTGGCATTTGTTGGTAGGTGGTGAGTAATTGTGTTCTGCATCACTGGTTTTGTGAAGTGGTTGAAACTAGTAAATACAATACATATACAATATACAATACAAGAATATAATAATGGTAATCATTACTATTGTTTTCACCCTACTTTTCTGTCTTAGTAGTTTTTATTTCAACCCATGAGTTCTTCTTTTTTCTTTTTTTTGGCTTTCTCCCCCATCCCACTAGGAGAGAGGATTTAGCAAATAACTGTGTGATCCAGGATCTCAGACATTAAGAGTTTCACATATGTTATTAAACCAAACTATCAGCTTAACTGACTCTCTTTCTGTGTATATCACATTTAGTCTGCTTGGCCCACATGCTTCAGAAAGCAGTAAATCACACATTTTGGTATCTTCACTCTGAACTATAAAGTTCTTGCTAGAGATATGAATTTCAACACAATCATAGCTTTCACAGCTGGTACTACCCTTCAGTATCTGCAATCTACTTCCCTCATCTCCATTGTTCTTTATTCCTTTTATGCATATCTTGTCTTCTGCCCCTGCTCTATTTCACTATTTTTTCTACTCAGCATGTTCTCTATCTCTTTTTTTATTTCCACTAATTCCTCATCTTTTTCTTCTTTGACCATTCTTTTTTGGAGATAGCACCATTTGTTAAAAAGCAGGGCTTCATTCAAATGCACGTACTTTCTTTCCATATAGAAATTAGCTAAGGAGATGATCAGTATAGGATTTTAGCCAAAAATGGTTACATTTTCATACATTTTAAGCAGTTATCTTAGCAAATGTTCCATATTATCAGTAGCCTGACTCCTAAAAGATCCAGTGTTATTTTTCTTTCTTATATTTTCCTTGAAATCAAGGAAAGTTGGCCACTGAATAATTTTTATATGTTGTATGTACTTGAAGTTTGCTGTGTGTATACAGAAGGCATTTTATGTGAAGTATAATGGTGTCAATTCAAATGCAATTGCCGCTGGAAATTTTTCCTGAAAGAGAGTAGTTTCACAGTCTAATGGACATTTTCTATCTTTTCAGTCCTTTCACTGCTGAAGTTCTTTACATTCTTTACAACACATACATGCACCACTTTTTTGTTCCTCCCCCTCACAGTGGGAAAGCTTATTTTCTCTATTAACTACACCACTGACATATTTGAATCAAATTTTATAAAAGTTCAGTGAAATATAATATGACTCTTGTCTTTCCTGCCTTCTTAGATACCATGTTATGTCTCATGCAACATGTTGATTGCTGGTTTTTTATATTATGTGCAATTTGTTACTTATTCTGCACAGAAGTTATTGTTTGCATCAAAAGCAAGAGGTGAAAGATGAGACTCTGTGTCCAGATTATTTGTTCTCAGAAGATGACAGATTGTTCGAAAGGTTTTCAGGAAATAGATGGTAGAATAGAAACAATTATGTCATCTTTTCTAGAATGACTGAATTTGCAGTTACAAATCCAAGAAGTTAGGCCTGGCTTATGAACTGGTGTAAATCATTGTAAATCCTCCTAAGTCAAAGCTATGCTGAGGTAAGGATCATCCTTCTTATCAGGTGGCAGGAAAGAAAATGAATTGCTGCAGCAGATTGCACTATCTACTTTCAGAGTTTTTAAAATATTAGCTGCATACAGAGTTTAAACAGAATTTGTACTAACCAGTACCTTTCAGAAGTCAGTATCAAGGGTATGTGCCAAACCTGACTATAACAACCCATTTACAAATTAACTTGAATTCGTAGAACATGCCAGAACAACAACAAAAATAAATAAATAAATGAAATCACCTTGAGATAATAGAAGAAAGAAGGAAAACAAGGTTAATCTTAAAATGAATTCAGCCCAGCCTACCAATTAATCAAGTGTAGCATCAGATAGGCTTTTGGCATCAAATATGATGTCCTGCTTCTTACCTAATTCAAAAAATAAATTTCCAATCACATACCTTCCATATCCAGCAAGTGGATTACAGGCAAATACTTCAATTTGGCTCTAGATATGCAAGCAGGACTCAGTCTGCAAGAAAGCACAATGTACCTTAATGTCTCTTTTTGTATTCCATTTTGCATCTTTCTACTCCCCTGTCACAGTATCATAGAATCATACAATGGCTTGGGTTGGAAAGAATCTTAAAGATCATCCAGTTCCTTTCTTGGGACAACCTGTTCTAATGCCTCACTACCCTCTGAACAATATCTGCTAAAAGAACTAAATCTTCCCTCTTTTTAATTATAAACATCCCCCCTTGTCCTATCACTATTTGCCCATGTAAAAATTTGGTCTCCCTCCTATTCATAAGCTCTGCTCAAGTACTAGGACACAGTGAGGTTTCCAGGGAGCCTTCTCTTCTCCAGGCTGAACAAGCCCAACTCCCTCAACCTTTAATCATAAAAGAGGTGCTCCAGCTCTCTGATCATCTTTGCAGCCCTCCTCTGGACCTGTTGCTACACATCTTTCTTGTTTTGGAGTTTCCAGCCTGGACACAGTACTCCAGATGCAGCCCCATGAGTGCAGAGTAGAGGGGGACAAATTCCTTCCTCTGCCAGCTGGCCACCCTTCTTTTGATGCAGCCCAGGATACAGTTGGCCTTCCAGGCTACAAGCACGCTCTGCTGACTCATGTCCAGCCTTTTGTCAATCAACATCTCCAAGTCCTTCTCCGCAGGGCTGCTGCCAGTCTGTACACATATCTGGGATTTCCCTGAGCAAAGTGCAACACCTTGTACATGACAATGTTGAATCTCATTAGGTTCTCATGGACCCACTTTTAAAGTTAGTCTGGGTCTGTCTGGATGAGTTCCCTTCCTTCTATTGTGTCAACTGCAACACTTCTCTTGGTGTCATCATCAAACTTGATGAGTGTGCACTCAATCCCACTGTCTAGATTGTCGATAAGGATGTTGTAGAGCACCGGTCCCCAGACAGACACCTGAGGGATGCTACTCATGAGCAGCCTCCATCTGGATATAGAACCATTGACTACAACTCTCTGACTGCAACCATCCAAGTAATTCTTTATCTACTGAGTAGTCCAGACTTCCAATCTGTATCTCTTCAATTACATTTTATTCTTTCTTATCCTACCGTATGCTTCACATCCCTTAAAAAAAAAAAAAAAAAAAAAAAAAAAGCTTCATTCCCTTCCTCCCATTTCCTTATGACTACCAGAAATCTTAGAAATTAACTTGAATTCACTGCTTTACAAGGTGATAGCTGCGAAGCTATGAAGGGGAACATCTTCAAGAGAAAGGAATAAGACTAGAGACAAGAGTCAAAAGGTTCTGATTGAGGCATCAAACTATAGCCATCCTTACTGTAAAAGCAGTGAGCAGACTGCAGACTGGAAATACAAGGACTAAGTTTATTGCACAGTGGAAGGAATTTTAAGTGAGAAAATTGCATGGATTTGCAATGGGCTTTGTCATTGCTGAAACAAATTCCCCTTAAGTAATGTCTTGCAAATTTTATGGTAGTCAGGACTGTGTGACTTGCTACACATTAACTCATTCACAACCACAGCACGTCAAATTTGAATGCCTACTAGAAACAATATGTTTATAGGAAAGCAGAGTACAAATGCTGACTGAACACCTCTCTATTCCACTTTCATGAGATTCCACCTGGAGTACTGCATTGAGTTCTGGGACCATGGGCATAAGAAAGACATGAACGAATAGGAGCAAGTCCTAATGAGAAGTCACAGGGATATTAGAGGGTTAGAGCACCTGCGCGGGGTGAGAGTCTGAGAGAGTTAGGGTTTTTCAGTCTGGAGAAGAGAAGGCTCCCAGGAGAGCTTATAGCTGCCTTCCAGTATTTAAAGGGGACCTACAAGAAAAATGAGGAGGAACTCTTTATCAAGGTGGGTAGTGATAGGACAATGGAGAGTGGTTAATACTAGAAGAAGGTAGATTTACGTTAGTTATATGAAAGAAATGCTTTACTATGAGAGTGGTGAGGCACAGGAATAGATTGCCCAGAGAAGCTATAAGTGCCCCATTCCTAGAGGTGCTCAAGGCTGGGTAGAATGGAGCTTTGGACAACACTGACATTCTAAAAAGGGCTTTAGCTATTGTTTTAAAGGGGAAGGAAAAATGCAGACCTTTAGAGTATATCCAAAAAGAAATAAACTAAACCCAGAAACAGTTATTTTCTCTGGCCAGTAATTATACAACTACATCTTTTATTTATAAAAGTGTTCTGTCCTTGAGCCCTTGGAGCGCCTTGTAAATGCGCAAAACAAAAATGTTGGAAACAGGCCAGATGAAAAAAAAAAATCTATCAGGGAGAGAGCAAACAAGAATAATGCACTTTACACTAACATTGCTCTTCAATTCAAGAACTGAATTTGCACTCATGAGTACAGTTATAGTTTATAGGCTTGTTTGGATTTTTGCAATTTCTTTTACAGCAAATTGTCACATGTTCTAACACAAAATTCACATTCTCAGAAACAGATAATATGACAAAATTTATCTCAATTTCTTCTCAATACTAAAGGTAAACTGGATTTAAGTCATTGAGAGGCTGTAGACAAACAATCTAGAAATTCCAGGTAGGAAGGTATCAGTGTGTTTTGGGAATAGTTGTTGGGGTAGGGGATGAAAACAAGAGAAATTGGCAGGGATAGAGGCAGCTGCATCTCTCACAATAGCAAAATATCAGATGTGAAACTTTATATTGAATTAGGATGAATTTACATTTGCTCCTATGACCAGTAGCTTACCTGATGCTTCAGTCATTGCATAAACTCCTTGCTTATGGGTCCATCCTGTATAAAGAGAAGGGGCAATCAGGGGAGTAAACTGTTTTCCCTACTGTAGAGTTCTTGAATGAGCCCAGAAAACCTCTCAACTTACATTTTCAATAGAATTGTGTCATATAGGATATAATTGCAGAAAGTGATATAGATATTTCAGTCTAGTAGCACATTCTGTTCAGCACCATCATGACTTGCTATTATCTTACAATGCCACGAAGTTCTGAGCCCAAGAAATACCATGTGTTTAGAGTTAAGAAACTCAGCCTCCCAGAAACCCAGCCTCAGCTGAATGGAACTAGATGCAAACAAAAATGGTAGAGAAGAAACCTCTGTAACAAAGTCAGCTCATTAATAGCTTCCTCTTCTCAGCATCCTCACATGTGAGTTGCACTCTTCACAATCATCAGCCTGGCATTGAGACGAAAAATTGCCTTTCTATTTTTAAAAAACCTATAGTGGGAAGAGTATCCATGAGGCATGAGGCAGGTACAAGCTTTTTTCTGCTCACCTGACATGAAACAAGGCCTTGAACAAAGTATGCCTAAGCAGGAGAAAGGTGACAGCTTCTGTGACCTGCAGTTTCTTGTGTGGTAGATCTGTTCCTTTTCCTGTAAGTATTAAATAGTGAAGGGCACACTTACAGTACAGCTGCAAAGCATTTCCCTGAGGAGTGGTAACCCACGTTCAGATCTTTGTGTCAGTCATTAGATAATTGCTTAAGAAAAAGAACTGCTCCCACAAGAGAAATCTGAGATCTAGCTTAAATAACTGAAAATCAGAAGGGAGAGGATATTCAGATGAAAGATGGGAAATTCAAGCATGAGACTGCAATGAAGCAGTCCTGCTGAGATTTAAGATGAACAGTGATAAAGTCAAGCTAAATGCATTTACTGTAAAGGTGGCCTTTCTAATTCCTCTATCCCTACAAGACCAGAAAAAGTGGTGCATTCCCTTTTGTGTTCCTATGAGGGAAGCAAGAAGTACCCACACATCAGTAATGACATGTTTTTAAGAATATCTGTAACAGCTGTACAAGAGACTGGATGGTACAGACACATCTTTGAATCAAATTCTTAAGAACAGATTTCAGTAAATGCGAGTGGGACTTACATTTTGAAAGCACAAATGTACAAGAACAAAAGATGCTTCTCCCTTGATGTCCTTTGGATTAATGTAAATGGTTTCCTTAGAGAATATAAACTATAATTGCTGCTAGAGAATCCAGCTGGAAGGCGGATAGCTTTTTAAAAGTCTTTTAAACTTGTATTCATTTTATTTTTTAGCAGTGCTATAGAATTATTAATTAAAAAGATCATTTCTCAAATGAAAGTTTTAGGAAGCAGAAATGAAAAATCATAAAATTATTTTCAGGATCAATAATTGCAATTAAATTGCATTTAATTGAAGTAATTATTACAGCTTTGGATTATTAAATTCAAAGGATTAAGTGACATAGGCTATTAATTTTTTTTCACAGCAAAAGTTGGAGGCGTTTTCTATCACTTTGTGTTATCTAGGTGATCAATGAATTGGTCCTACTTGGAGTTATCTTACAATTCCCTAAATTACGTGTCGACATCTCTTTTTTTTGAAATCTAGATTATTCAGTATTCTCAAAATCTAGCTGTCATAATATGAAGTCTGCTCTGAAAGTAATGCCTGCAGTGTTATTCTGTCAGCCCATGATGTCAGATGTGGATACTGTTGGTATGGCAGCAGAGGCTGAATCTTCCCACCAATATTCCATTACATGTTGTTGCTGTGTGACAGATGGCAGCAGAAGGGCAGTCTGACAGAATGATGTCTGACACGGAAGTGCATCTGAAGCAAATGTGTGTCACTGAATGCCTGCATAAGGAAAAGATGGCATGAAAAAATACACAATACATGAAAATACGTGATACATGAATAATACACGATACATGAAAATGTATGACGAAAATTAATGTCAGTGACATTCATTGACACTTGCTGAACGTCTATGAAGACCAAACAGTGGATGTCAGCATAGTAAGGGGTGGGTGTTGCATTTCAGCAGTGGAAACAGCAATGTGAAAGACAAGCCACATTCCAGATGGCCATGCAGATTTTCAAAAGTGCAGCATACCAGCTCTTGTTCATTGATGCCAAAGATGCATAGCTAATGGTGATGACTATGTACAGAAATAGTACATTGTATCTGAGAATTTGCTCTATCAAATAGTGCTATTGTGCTTTTTATATTTGTTGAAGTTTCCATGGAAATAAATAGAAGGCATTACTTTTAGAGCAAACTAGCTATTATTCTGTATGATTCACAATCCTTATATTTCATCATCCTTTGATGTCTATCTTTCAACTCTTTCAATCTTTCAATTGCTAATGTTGGCTTAAAGCACTACTGCAATACTATGTCCATAAAGCTTTCCTTAGGACATTTGAACTAAATTAATCAGAAGGGCTGTTTACTTGTGGTGAAGAAGGTAATAGAACAAAATTTTGTGTAGGCTGAGTACCTTCTGTGTGACTATATGACTATAATTAGTTAAATTAAAGCTAATGAACTGTGGATTAGCATTTGAAAATCCAGTTAACAAGTTCTTTCCTGTCAGAAGATTGCTCAGAGTTAATCCAATCAGTTTGTTTTTGTATTGTACATATCCTTGACTTATTTCTAAGTATTACAGAACTGTTTTACTATATCAGAGTATGTGTATCATGTTCAGAGATTAACTTGTGAAAGAGATGGGTAGTGTTGACTTAGTCCCAGTAAGTTTCAAGTTCTGTAGAAATACAACACTTGTTTCTCATAATGTTCTTTCACATTAAACAATCTACGCACTGGCTATGTGCTAGTACTTTTTAAAAAAGATTTTCAGTCAATAGTTACACATTTTTCATGGTCTTACCAGTACTTATTGGGATGCTGAGAGGTCTATACATTCTTTTTCTAAGTGTCTTGTACAACATTCATCACAGTAGTTAAGCATAGTCCAAAAGCATTTTAACTGGTAGTTACAAATTAACTGCCATTTTTAGCACAAACATGGCTCATTCTATTTCAAATCCCATATCAAGAGAGGAAATTGTCTTCTGCTATGTTCTGTTTTTACAGGATGTTGACCTTTTTGCTTGATCATCTCTTCATGTCATTTCATATCTCCAGACAAATCCCAAGGAATCTACTATCATGCAAGCAAACTTTACCCTTTCTCTTTCTGTCATCTTTTTGTACACTTTTTATTTTCTAGAAAATGTGTTGTGTCTGAAAAAGAAAGCAATCTACTACAGTTCTAAATTGCTGAGTAATCTCTTGCACATACTGTGCAAGCAAACTTTCCAAAAATGCATTTTTAGACAATATGCTGGTCTTGTGAGAGACCATTAAGAAATAACTCAGGTACTCTTGAAAAAAACAATAGTCAGATGCCCATCTTTGGATTATTGCACATTTGGATGCAGATGAGATCATAGAAAACAAAAGGGTTGAAGGAATTCAGAGGGTTTTTCTGTAACTACTGACTACAGAAATGAAATAAAAAGGATTATGTAAAAAAAAAAAAAAGAAGCTACAGGAATCTGAGAACTCTGTACCCATAGTAATGATTTCTGTTTATTTAAAACAGGATAATTCATAAAAGTTAGTAAATAGCTGTGAAGTGTTTATCAGTCTAGATTACATGGAGTGAAAATATTAAGAAATCAGGTATCATGGGACTGTGCCTGAATACGGAACGAATTTCTGCAATGTTATAATCCTATTTCCATAAACATACCTTTAAAGAATATAGACATTCATAGGAAATGAGTTTAAGCCCTTACACACTAAACAAAATTATTCTTATGATGCTGTATTTCTAATATTAATATTCACGACCAGTTTCTGATACATGCAGAATCCCAGAGCCAACACACAAAACATTATTGAAATTGTAAATTTCATGCTTTAACACATTAATTATTCTTATGAACATTTTTGCACTGAAAGACCTGCTTGCCTAACCACTTATGGTAATTCTCTGTTCATATCAGGGGGTATAATTTTGCATGGTTTGGAAATATTTCTGCTTTTATAATCTGTATCTATCCATTGGAAGGAAAAAAAAAAGTTTCTTTCAATAAAAAAAAGTCTTAGGGCTTACAAAATACTTTAAAAAGTCAGTATTTGCAGCCTTAATGTAATAGACTATCATTTCAAACCAAATTAACTAAGCACTAGTTATTCTTTTAACTGCTTTAACAGGTCTAAACTCATATTTATTCTCCTTCTCATAACAATTCTGTTTATAACAAAACAAAGAACTCAAGAGGTTCCTAAACAGATTAATGAGTCAGCACGTCTGTAATTCTCAAGATCAAATCGAGTTTCAGGCTTTTATGTCCCCAGCAATCTTGAGGTAAATCTCTGAATGTCTCAAAAGAGAAACTGTGGCAGAAGTTTCTATCAAAGCCCCATCTATACAAGCAGGTGCAGGGTTGTCAATAGATCTGACATGTGATTCATGGTACATGAATTGTATGTGATCTACGCCTTTAACTTGGTTGAAGGAGCATCTGTTTTCTTTTCAGCCCGTACTCCAAAACTACACAAATGTAAATAAGCTTGGTAATACACAATTTAATGATGTACTTAAGCTTTTAGCTTTAGGTTTCAGCTTGGGATTCTTCAAAGGTAACTTTCATTGTACAGGATTATAGATCGGGGTATGGATATTTTAGGTAAGTGATAAAAGTTCTCAGTAACTGAAGAAGGAAGAAAGCATCTCATGAGGGTTTCTATTCTTTCTATTACCTTCTGGAAGTATCAGTTTCTATTCCTTGATTAAAAAGGGAGCATACGTAACTAAAGCTGACGGAGCAACTAATTTAAGATGTTTGAAATGATGTGAAACAGAGGCAGTACTTAGGGTCTGATAGCATCTCGCATTAAGTATCAGTGAAGTTTACAGTGCATTAGCTTTACATTGAATTTGTCCCCAATAAGCTCAATAAGAAATATTGTCTCACTTGTTTTCTGTTTACCAACCAGCATTTGGGCTTTGTGAATTACACAAGTATAGAACTTAGTAAAGCATAAAGAAGTAATCAAAACTGCAAAGACAGTAGAAAAAAAGTAAAATGAATAGATGACAAATTTACATCATCACAGGGGTTGGAAGGGATTTCTGGAGGCCAACCAGTCCAACCCCACTGTTAATGCAAGTTCCCTACAGTAGGTTGCATAGGAAAGCATCCAGGTGGGTTTGGGATATCTCCAGAACAGACCCCACATCTTCTCTGGGCAGCCTGTTTCAGAGCCTGAGGCTCTGTCACCCTCAAAGTAAAGAAGTTTCTCCTAACTTACTCTATATTTTCTCATTAACTCTAAACTGTTTTAATATTATTTCAGTCTTCTGAAATATATATATATATATTAAGACTACATGAGTAAGAGATCAGTGAATGCAAAAGATCTTTACTTGTTCATTTGTTTTGTAGCTCACATATTATCACTGCTTTACCGTAACATGGAAACTACTATTTTTAAGAGTGATGTGGAACCAGATTTTAGTGCCAGCCTTTCCATTTCAAGGGTTCAGGTCCATCAGAAGTGTTTAA